TTGGCTGATTGTGTACATGGATTTGATCAAATCATAGAATTTACCTCCTATTCCGCTGTCGATGAGTTTTAGGAATAATCCTTCATGCCAGATTGAGTCGAATGCTTTCTTGAAATCAATAAAACAGGCGAAAATTTGGCTTTTGTTTTGATGTACATATTTATCAATTAGTGTTTGTAGAGTAAAAATGTGATCAGATGTGCGGCGTTTTGGGAGGAAACCAATTTGGGATTTACTCAAGGCATTGTGTGTGTGTGTGTGAGAGAGAGAGAGAGAGTGTGAGAGAGAGAGTGTGTGTGTGTGAGAGAGAGAGAGAGAGTGTGTGTGTGAGAGAGAGAGAGAGAGAGTGTGTGTGTGAGAGAGAGAGAGAGAGAGTGTGTGTGTGAGAGAGAGAGAGAGAGAGTGTGTGTGTGAGAGAGAGAGAGAGAGAGTGTGTGTGTGAGAGAGAGAGAGAGAGAGTGTGTGTGTGAGAGAGAGAGAGAGAGAGTGTGTGTGTGAGAGAGAGAGAGAGAGAGTGTGTGTGTGAGAGAGAGAGAGAGAGAGTGTGTGTGTGAGAGAGAGAGAGAGAGAGTGTGTGTGTGAGAGAGAGAGAGAGAGAGTGTGTGTGTGAGAGAGAGAGAGAGAGAGTGTGTGTGTGAGAGAGAGAGAGAGAGAGTGTGTGTGTGAGAGAGAGAGAGAGAGAGTGTGTGTGTGAGAGAGAGAGAGAGAGAGTGTGTGTGTGAGAGAGAGAGAGAGAGAGTGTGTGTGTGAGAGAGAGAGAGAGAGAGTGTGTGTGTGAGAGAGAGAGAGAGAGAGTGTGTGTGTGAGAGAGAGAGAGAGAGAGTGTGTGTGTGAGAGAGAGAGAGAGAGAGTGTGTGTGTGAGAGAGAGAGAGAGAGAGTGTGTGTGTGAGAGAGAGAGAGAGAGAGTGTGTGTGTGAGAGAGAGAGAGAGAGAGTGTGTGTGTGAGAGAGAGAGAGAGAGAGTGTGTGTGTGAGAGAGAGAGAGAGAGAGTGTGTGTGTGAGAGAGAGAGAGAGAGAGTGTGTGTGTGAGAGAGAGAGAGAGAGAGTGTGTGTGTGAGAGAGAGAGAGAGAGAGTGTGTGTGTGAGAGAGAGAGAGAGAGAGTGTGTGTGTGAGAGAGAGAGAGAGAGAGTGTGTGTGTGAGAGAGAGAGAGAGAGAGTGTGTGTGTGAGAGAGAGAGAGAGAGAGTGTGTGTGTGAGAGAGAGAGAGAGAGAGTGTGTGTGTGAGAGAGAGAGAGAGAGAGTGTGTGTGTGAGAGAGAGAGAGAGAGAGTGTGTGTGTGAGAGAGAGAGAGAGAGAGTGTGTGTGTGAGAGAGAGAGAGAGAGAGTGTGTGTGTGAGAGAGAGAGAGAGAGAGTGTGTGTGTGAGAGAGAGAGAGAGAGAGTGTGTGTGTGAGAGAGAGAGAGAGAGAGTGTGTGTGTGAGAGAGAGAGAGAGAGAGTGTGTGTGTGAGAGAGAGAGAGAGAGAGTGTGTGTGTGAGAGAGAGAGAGAGAGAGTGTGTGTGTGAGAGAGAGAGAGAGTGTGTGTGTGTGTGAGAGAGTGAGAGAGTGTGTGTGTGTGTGTGTGTGTGAATGAACGCAACAGTTTACAAATAAACCTTCTCAAATCGCCCGCCTTCTGCGCTCTACATTCTCATTGGTCGCTGGCGCAGTTGCCACGGCGATACTGTAGCAACGCCTATCAGCACTCCTCCCTTTTGTCCAATTACGGCAGCCGCGTTGGCGTGTGTGAGCGCTGATTGGCTGACGAGCGCGGCGCAGTTGTCGGTCAGGCGCGCGATGTAAAGGCGCTCAGCTCCGCGCGTTTATTTGTGATTGTTTTGTCTGCTCTGAGTAAACAACAACAACAACAGCCAACGGTCGCTCATCCGCGGACTCTGACGCACAGACACGGTAAGCGCTTCACACGCTGCTCACGCCGCGCATGCTGCTGTGGAGTCCGGTCTCGGAGAGGATCAGGTGTGGTGTGACCGCAGGTGCTTCGGATGATGGTTCTGGACGGGTTCGGCGGCGGGAGGAGCCTCGGCGCGGCGGCGGCGCGGGGGGATGTGGAGGCGCTGCGGCGGCTGCTGCAGGATCACCGGCTCGATCCGGACGCGCTCAACGAGTTCGGGAAGACCGCGCTGCAGGTGAGCCGCTGTTTTACATTCATAGCATGCCATGATAGATGCGTTTGATATGATCACGTGTGTTCTGTGCTGCAGGTGATGATGATGGGCTGCACCAGTGTGGCGCGTGTGCTGCTGGACCACGGCGCTGACCCGAGCGTCCAGGACCGCTGCGGCGTGACCCCTGCGCATGACGCGGCCCGCACCGGGTTCCTGGACACGCTGAGCGTTCTGGTGGACCACGGCGCCTCGGTCAACGTCCCCGACCACAGCGGAGCCCTGCCCCTCCACATCGCCATCCGCGAGGGCCACGGGGACGTGGTGGAGTACCTGGCCCCGCTCTCGGACCTGGGGCACCGGGACAGCCGCGGGGCCGACGCTCTGGATGTGGCCCGGGACGCTCGCGCTGCGGAGATGCTGGCGCTTTTGGAGCGCGTGACAGCAGCCAGCTCCAGCTGAAGAACTGTGCGGCCCGGTTCCCCTCGGCGCTCGTCGGCGGGTTGTATTTATATGAATAAGTTGGATGTTGAGATGCATGTGTCGATAGTTGGTTATTGAGCTCACAATATTAGCTGGAATATGTGGCTCCGGATCCGGACACGTGTAAATAACCCTTTCTTTGGTATTTTACAAAACATTTCTCTGCAGAAACCTGAACTGTTAACAGTTTTATTCTTGTGAAATTATTTCACGGATGAATTCTCGCTTTTGTTTTGCGGATTAAGGTCTGTAAATAAGATTTAATGAGTTTATTTGACTTATTTATTGAAGATTTGTATATGAACGTTTATGCTTGCTGTGGTGTTTCAGATGTTATTTATGAAGGTGTGTAATAAACTGAGATCAGTTGGTCAGAATCAGATGCGGAGGTGTCTTCCAGCAGATGACCCTCTGGACACACAACACTCGCCACGCATCTTCTGTTTCAGCAGCAGACGTCCTTCCCGTGATGAGCCTCGGCTGCTGAAGTTACACCACACACTGAACAAACTGGTATATTATCACGAACGTCAGGCCTACAGTTCCTCCAGGGGCTGACCCGAGCAGGACTGCGTGCCACGACAAGCCAAACATTGTGCTTTGAACAGAAACACTGCTTTTCTGGGTGTTTTTCGACTCCGAGAGACGAGTGTTTGCTCGGGCCCCGCAGGATCCAGCAGCTGCGTGTCCTTCGTCGTCTTCATCAGTGAGTCTCTGTAGTGTGGCACTCTGGACTCATCTGACCGCTGTTATACACAGCACAAGTGTGTTTGAGATCGCTGGACACGGTCCACATACATCCTCAGAGCCTTCACTCGATCATATCATCTCAACACACACACATCAAATATTCATAAAGTTTGATCCTTTGTCGAGTACGTATTGCACATTCAGGTTCCCATATAAATGAGAATGTGTACACACACATGCTTGGCTTCTGACGGTTAAAGGAGAGTAAACATGTTAAAATTAAGTGTTATTTAAAGTGTTATTAAACTGGGAGATCTGTAAGTGTTTAATGTGTTATTTAGACCATTAAGACTTTACTTCAGAGGTAATGTGTGCACGCGTCAGCAGACAGTCTTTAGCGCTTATGCAAACTAGCTGTATTTTCAAATATGAAACACGTATATTGTAAATGATTGTTAAACATAAGAAATATATATTTCCATATATGTGTGTGTATACTGCATGAGTAAATATGTTCAATATGTTTATATACATATCACATGCACATCAATATATTATAAAGTGGATTACTGAATATAATATTACATTGTGATAAGTACATATGTCACATATTTTTCAGTATATGAAAGCAGCAGTTCCTTATGTATTCAATATATTGTAATGTATTTACACTGTTATTCCATATATTTTTTAATATACTGTTATATTTAATATATTGGTCATTCATATATTAAGAACTATATTTCGTCTAGACATCCACAGTCTTGCTATTAAGAAAAGAAATGCAGCCTTTTAGTTGTAGAACTATTTTACTGATTTCATGCATTTTGCTAAATATAATCACTGAAGGAAGCCGAAGTGATCCACGGTTTAGTTCAGAGATGCAGATCTGAGCCATTCACTGTAAACTATAATCTGAGGGAGACTTCTCTTAATTCTCTCTTTGACCCAGAGCCTGAGAAAGGTCAGAGGTTATTCTAGTCTGCCAGCAGAGAGTCACTGAAGCTTCAGATCAGTCGAGGCTCGCTGGTTAGTCACCTTAGCTTCTGCTGGAAGATGCTGTAAATATTGAAAATTATTTAAAATGTTTAAAACAGTTAACATATTCTGACAAAAACATTTTTGCACGTAACTTTCAGTCACAACTACATTATACTCTAGTAGACGCAGTTCTTGATTGTGCTGACTGACGTCTCAGCCCAGGATCATCACTAGTGAAGACTGCTACTGTGTGTGTGTGTGTGTGTGTGAGAGAGAGAGAGAGAGTGTGTGTGTGTGTGTGTATGAGTGTGTGTGTGTGTGTGTATGAGTGTGTGTGTGTGTGTGTGTGTGTGTGTATGAGTGCGAGTGTATGAGTGTGTGTGAGTGTCTCTGTGTGTGTGTGTGAGTGTATGAGTGTGAGTGTATGAGTGTGTCTCTGTGTGTGTGTGTGTGTGTGAGTGTATGAGTGTGAGTGTATGAGTGTGTCTCTGTGTGTGTGTGTGTGTGAGTGTATGAGTGTGTGTGAGTGTATGTCTCTGTGTGTGAGTGTATGAGTGTGTGTGAGTGTGTGTGAGTGTGTGTGTGTGTGTGTGTGAGTGTATGAGTGTGTGTGAGTGTATGTCTCTGTGTGTGTGTGTGTGAGTGTGTGTGAGTGTGTGTGTGTGTGTGAGTGTTCTTGTCATCGGCCAATCGGTGTTGTCATGACATCATTTCCTGCAGCTCAAGAGTCAGGAGTCACATGACATTTACAGCTCAGGTAGTTGGCTGATCTGAACATCCATGAGCTTTTAATTGTGTACTTCACGAGATGAAAAGGAATGCTAGCAGGTATAAAGGTAAAGCTCCACACACACCTGTGGAAATTTCCGCTCGCTCAGCCACACCCACCATCAGAAAACAACACACAGAGGCTTCATTGTTTAGAAGTGCATTTGCTTTCAGAGCTCTGTCTGCTGTTTTTTTCTAATCAGATTTACTCCGGTATTGCTGTTTAAACACCCGAGTGAACTTACTTCAATAGATAAGCATCTGAGCTTAAATACTACTGAGAAAAAAACAGAAATGCAGAATCAACTGGGCTAAAGGGACACACACGGCCTCAGCACATCTGGACTAATCTCACCTACAGCTCCTCTGTTCTCAGGCCCAGCTTACGGTCGTGTTAATAGTGTGTCAATAGTGTCCGCTCACTTTTACAGCGGCCTCGGGTTTGGAAGTATTGCTCCCATCAGTTTTTCCCATAGGGATTTTTAAAGAGTTTAGTCATAAACTAAACCAACCAGCTACCAGATAAATCACAACATTACAAACCTTGAGTCAAAACTATAAAGTACAAAAAAGGTACAAGACTGTGTATTTAACGATTTTAATGAAGGAAAGAACTACAATCCCATGAACCATTGCGAATGACACTAATTAAAAACTACTAAAGCTGTTGATTTAAAGATGTTAATTGTGCATCTATAAACAACATATTTTATGTTTATTGCAGCATAAGCACATATGCACAGAGAGGCTATTATGTCATTCGCAGTGCATCATGGGAGAGTGGGCGGAGCTAAAGAGCTCTTTAGTGCGCTTTGCTTGACGTGATCCACTGATTGGTGTCAAGGTTTCTTTGCAGAATCATGGTTAAATCATGTTTTTTTTTTTTTACCAAGAAGTCCACTGTTAAACATGATTACTAAAAAAAAAGGTAAAATATTAAGTGCTGATGGCTTTAACAAAAGCATAAACCATCAATCAACAACCGTGTAGCTCACAGTAGGGCTGGCTTTAACACTTTATTAAGTTACTGTTAAAATTCCCCTATGGCAAAACTTCAGGTCGAACCCTAATCAAACACACCTGAAGCACCGAATGCAAATCTCCAGGAACACTTGATATTGTTGGAACTGAACTGAAGGTAGGACTGGGCATCTGCTCTATCGAGTCTGTCTGGTGAAAGTTCAGTGCTTCACACAGACACTGTCACTTATGTGTGGAGTCAGGATTGTATCTGCTGTAATCAGAGCACGTTACTGAGCTCATATCACTGATGGCATCCAGTAAATCAGCTATATTTGTTCAAAGCATAACAGCAGCGCTCCAGTGCTGTGATTATCTGCGCTTCATTCTGTCCTTCACGTCTGGAGGCAGAAGGTCCATCAGACCGTCCTCCACGCTCACAGCGGCCAGTCTGAGCGAGAGACAGTCGGCGAGCTCCGCAGGCAGAGACTCCAGCCGGTTTCCCTTCAGCTCCAGCCGAACCAGCTGAGCCAGATTCCCGACCCGCGGAGACAGCGAGGAGATGCTGTTATTCCCCAGCGCCAGCACCTGCAGCCTCTTACAGGAGAACAGCTCCTCGGGGAGACTCTCCAGCGAGTTAAAGGCCACCGAGAGGAACTGCAGACACTGAAGCATGCCGATCTCCGAGGGCAGAGACGCCAGCTGGTTGTGGGAAAGGTCCAGGTGTCGGAGTTTGGTGCAGTAGCAGAGGCGCGGCGGAAGACTGCGGATCTTGTTCCAGCTGAGGTCCAGTGTCTCCAGCGCGCGGAGCTTGCTGATGTGCTCCGGGATGCAGGAGATGTCGTTGTGCCAGAGTCTGAGGACGGTCAGGCGGCGACAGTGCTGCAGACTCAAGATCTCTTCCACGGTGGTGAGCCGGTTCTCTCGAAGGTCCAGCTCCTGCAGGAGGGACAGGCTGAAGACGGCGCTGGGGATCCGCTCCAGACCGCAGCCCGTCAGCTCCAGAGCGCTCAGGTTCACCAGCTTCTTCAGACTGTTGTAGACCTGGAGCCTGGTCCCCTCGTTGTGAACGCACAGTCTCTGGAGCTGACTGGACACATCCACAATACTGGGCGGTATCTTGGTCAGCTTGCAGCGTAAGGTCAGCACTCGCAGGTTCTTCAGGTCTCGTAAAGAGTCCAGCGCCGGACTGCGGGAGAGCTCAGCGCTCAGAGCGCCGCTCAGGTGAAGCTCCTCTAGACTCTGTAAGGTGTACATCCACAGCGGCACCTGCTCCGGACCCTCGAAGCCCAAGCGCAGAACCTTCAGATTCTCACGCAGGTGACTGAGGGCCGCCAGCTGGAGCTTGGCCGGGCTGTGGATCAGCACGATCTCCTGTAAGGCGGTAAGCTGCGATACGGTTCCGGGTACCGTCACGTTACTGATCAGTTCCAGTTTGAGCGACTCGACCTCGGAAATCTCGAACACGGTGTCTGGTAATCCTGGAAGCAGGAACAGGGGCAGCTCCAGCCTCTCGCCGGCGTTGCGTGTCAGACGAGCGCGGAGTTTATCAGCCGTCCACTCGTGGTTGAGGTTGAGCTGCCGTAAACGGCATTCGCTGACCTCCGAGAGAAACATGGCGAAGCGTTTGGAGTACAGAGCGTCGTACTGGTCGCTGAGGTGCAAGAGAAACGCAAAGTCATTTTTAACATCCGGGATGTCGTTTATTCCCGTCTCCAAGCGAACCGCCTCAAAGGAATACTCTTTCAGCGGTCGGTGAAACAGCCAATAAAGCGAATAAATGCACAGCAGTCCGTAGACCCCGACGAAGCATATGTAGCAGTAGGCTAATTTGGAGAACAGATGCGCTTTATTGTAGTTACAGCAGAACGCACTGAACCCTGTCAGATCCGGAGGCACCGAGCACATCACCACGATCTGGATGTTGGGGACCAGCGCGACGCTGTAAACGGTGATGAGAGCGAATTTGAAGACCTTCAGCGCCGTCTGCAGCACGTACATGAAGTAAAGCAGATCCGCCTCCTCCACGTGCGTCCGAAACTTCCTGACTTTCTCAAACAGGGCCTTGGCCTGCTCGCCTTCTTTCTTATCCAGGAGCGACGCGGTCGCTTCTGACGGTTTCTGGTCCGAGCCGGACTTTATGGAAGATCGGATCAGAGACACCATGTCGTCGTCGTGGTCTGCGGCTGATTTGGTCATTGTGTTCTTTCTCCACACGACCATTCTCTCCTCTCGCCGCTCTTCGTAGACTTCGCTGATGGCTCTCGTGGTCCAGGGAGAGTCGAAGCACTTCCCCAGAATGATCACGAACAGCTCGATCTTTGAGGACGTCCCTGGGAACTTGAACCAGAAGCTGCTGGCCACCATGAAGATCAGGCTGTGGATCACCACTAGGTAGGGGAAGTACTTTCCGTACCAGTGCACGGCCCGTTCGTAGCAGAAGTGGTTGACGAACTCGTACTGGTGGATATCCAGGCCGTTCTTCCGGCCGAACACCTCCACGACGTTCGGACCGAGACGTTTGGTGATGGCGAACTCCCACAGACTCTCGTTCTCCTGCCGCAGGTGACTGCAGTCTCGGTCTCCGCCGGAGAGATCCGTGAATCGGTTCGGCAGGCAAGATATCTTGTCTTGTGTCAGCTGCAGAGAGATGGAGATTGTCTAAGCATCAGTGACGATGACACAC